ACTTGATTTAAAGTGTAAAGCGTTACCTGTTACAATTGAAAGTGAAGGAGGGATCAAAGTGAGATTTAGTGAAGGTGCAGGGGTACAAAGTGCAATTTACCCTAGAATAAATCATAGGCTTAATTTTTTGCCCTTTGTTTAGGCCTTGACTTAGTATTACTTTTCTGTCATTTCCTTATTTTGTAACCCTTCTTTGTTCAGTATAAATATACATGGTTGTTAGAATTTACCATTACCTACACCTACCACCACCTACTACCACACCTACTACACCTACCACCAATTTACCCTCACCTACTCCTCACCTACTACCCAAACCCTCTCCTATATAATGAGCCACTCTGATTTGTAATAAAACACATCAATATATCAATCAATAATATACATCTCAATTTATTTTTTTGCATGGTATCAGAGCAGGTTTAGAACCTACTATTTTTGCTTCCCCAGCGGGCGGCAACCTCACCTTAGCCGTCCGCCGGACCTCAACCTAGTCCGCTCGAATTTTCACACATACCTTGAAATTTCCTTTCTACCACCACCGCTGCAAGATCCAGAGCCATCATCGTCCACCTCTCCGGCGGCTCCATCTCCGCCGACAAAGTCCAAGACAAGTACAAACAGTACTGGTCCTTCTTTCGCTGCCCCAAAGAAATCGAACTCACCAAGAACGTCCCTGCCTTCGTCTTGTTCGGTGAAGACGAGGTTGAGACAATGGGCCCAAGTGGTGCGCCGTCGCCTTCTTCTGCGGCCGAGACGAGCACTCTATCACCAGACCGCCACAGCTTCCGCCGCCGACCCTCGGAACTGGCGCCTTCGTCGCACCACCAAATCCAGAAGATGGGTTTGGGAGGACCACCATTCTCGAACCAAATAGAGCCGAAACCGACATTTCTTCTTCTTCTCCTGGTTGTTCTACTTGGTTGCTGGATTGCGAGTGAGAGAGATGATAAGAGTAGTGGTTTTGTTTGGACCTTTCTCTACCAATTCATGACTTAGACAAACAGATTTAACAATTCTCTTATTTTAATATATATATATATATATATCTATGTTTATACTTTCACTTTCAACCCCACGGCTAGCACACCACTTTCTTTTATTTATACTTTTAAGATCTCTCTCTCTCTTCACGGACACATCCCATTCTTCTTTTTTTATTTACTCCCACCCACTGAGCTTATCACCTCCATGTGCACTTCTTTTTTATTTTACTTTTGGACAGATTCATGGCTTGCAAAAAAAAAAAAAAAAAAAAAAAAAAAAAAAAAACAACAACAACCATTTACACATTTGCACAACACCCATATTTTATTCATCTTCGGAATCAACCCCGATCACATTTTTACACACAAAAAAAAAAAAAAAAAAAAAAAAAAAAAAAAAAAAAAAAGGTTTTTTTTTTTTTTTACAATATATTTTAGCCAAAAGTCAAAAAATTACTAAAAAGTTTGTTCCCAAACGAGGCCTAAATATAAGCAAAATATCAAATCCAAACATCCAACATAAGTATAAATCCTTTACAATCCAAAACTTCAAGCAAGTACACAATGAATTCCAAAAACAATTCCAAGCTACAATACTATGACAAAATAGATCCAAAAATTCTAAATGTAATTCTTTGATACTCTCTAAACTATGTTCCATCCATTGCCAATCTATGAAACATATAAAACAAATTACAATATTAAAATGTTAGTAATTTCCTAATAGGATTTATTTCTAATCCTAACTAGGTTAACACTGTGAGAGAGAGAGAGAGAGAGAGAGAGAGAGAGAGAAGTAAATGAAGCCTTACTTGCATATTGACTTTAGATAGATTGGTAAAATTAAAAAGAGAAAGCCAAACAAAACAAGCTGGCATCTCTGCTCGCGCATCCTTATACATGCGTTGGAGCAGAGCCAGCTGGGAATTTAAATGCTGCACCTCATTTGTCCTACTTTGCAGCCGGTTCGACAAATTTGTGACCGCCGTCATGGTTTCCACGCATGACTTCAGAGTATACTGATTAGCCTCAATATCCGTTTGCACCGCCATTTTTTGCTCCACCGACCGCATCGGAAAGTTCAACGGAGCAAAACCAGAGGTGTTTGGTTGAGGTTCACTGGCCACCGCACCAGTTATTTCTCTTGTGGGCTCGTTCAGTTCTGGAAAGAGCGCGAGCAGGTTCTGGGTAGCTGGACGGGAAGAAGAGGCCATGTTTTTGGGTTGCTAAGTGTTTCAGCGAAATAGCAATTTCAGACTGGTAATGTTCGGAAGGGTTGGTGACAGAATGGCAACAAAGTGTTCCACAGTTTCTCTCTCCGCAGAGGCAAAGTTTTTCAGCGAAGGGTTGGTTTCAGAGGTTTCAGAATGGTATGCCTCAGCCTCAGCCTTCGTCTTGGTTAAATAGCCGAGGCAGCCACGCGTATCGCGCGCCTCTTGCCGCCCGACAAAGTGGCACGCCTTTTCATGGCACATCTTTTGATAAAGTGGACACGCCTTTTGATGGCACGCCTTTTGATGAATTGGGCACGCCTTTTGATGGCACGCCTTTTGATGAATTGGGCACGCCTTTTGATGGCACGCCTTTTGATGAATTGGGCACGCCTTTTGATGGCACGCCTTTTGATGAATTGGGCACGCCTTTTGATGGCACGCCTTTTGATGAATTGGGCACGCCTTTTGATGGCACGCCTTTTGACAAAATGGGGCACACCTTTTGAGGGTGCAACTTTTTAAGAGTCCGACAAGACTCTGTAAACTGTCCCGACATAGATTCCGATTAGTTTCTACAAGGGTCCGACAAGACCGGTCCGCCATGACCCCATAAACTGTCTTCTACAACGGTCCGCCATGACCCCATAAACTGTCTTCTACAACGGTCCGCCATGACCCCATAAACTGTCTTCTACAACGGTCCGACATGACCCCATAAACTGTCTTCTACAACGGTCCGACATGACCCCATAAACTGTCTTCTACAACGGTCCGATATGACCCCATAAACTGTCTTCTACATCGGTCTGACACCACCATACAGTGTCCTCTACCACGTTATGACACCCCCGTACAGTGTCCTCTACAACGTTATGACACCACCATACAGTGTCTTCACCAACGGTCTGACACGACCATACAGTGTCTCCTATCATTTTTTATTTTTATGTATTTTCTTATTTTGTTCCTCTCTCCAAACTCAAGTTGGTTAGTTTCTATCCTCCTTGAGTTTGCGGGGGGCTGTTAGAATTTACCATTACCTACACCTACCACCACCTACTACCACACCTACTACACCTACCACCAATTTACCCTCACCTACTCCTCACCTACTACCCAAACCCTCTCCTATATAATGAGCCACTCTGATTTGTAATAAAACACATCAATATATCAATCAATAATATACATCTCAATTTATTTTTTTGCAATGGTAATCCCATGTTTAGGGTAAACCAATTATACAGAAAACTCTACATTATCAACATCAACTGGATAACAACCCAATCCTATGCATTCCACCCTAAAGTTTTAAATTCTTGGTGGATCGAATTTAAAAGCAAAATTGAGCACTGAGCCATCTCTTGCATATTGTTGTTTGCAGGCTTTCCAAAATCTTTATGATTTTACGTCATCGGTGACGAAGATGACAATAAACTATTCTTTTGGCTTCAATCACAAACATCACATCCACTTCATGCAATTGTACATCATATTCATATGTCTAAAATAATCGATATCAAAGACTAAAATTATGGAATCAATAGAACTAGATTTTAGTTACTTGGGTATGTATGAATTTTTTTTGTCCTCTATGATTAATTATGATCTCTTATATGTACTTAATAAGATTTTCTCACAATTACATGAGGTTTCCAGTCAGGTACATGGACACATTTATTTTAGTGGGCTCCAACAAAATCCATATGAAAGCATGTGCTTATTAGCCAAATGCTCCTCTTGGCTTTCCTCAATTTCTTTTACCTTCTTTTTTTTTTTTTTTTTTTTTGACATAAGCTCTTCTCACTTTGTCTTTAATTGGCGACATTTCCACTAAATTCATTATTTTCTTATAACACTACCGATCAATCACAACATTCTTATAGCGACTGCACACATATTTTGGTGTGAATTGTGCTCCTTTAGGAAGACTGGAGATCAACAAGAATGTTTTAACGAAAATAGTATCATGTGTACTGTATTACTGGATTCTTGACAAGCTGAGCATTCAAAATATCATTGCAGCAGCTTGAGGCAGAATAGTAATTTTGTTATTCTTCTTTGTATAAGGCTGAAGGGTATTTTTGTAATATGAAACTAAGCTAGTAGGAAAATACTATTCGCACACCACAAGAAATTTCAGTACACACCATTAGTTTTGTTTGGATATAAACTTTTGAACAAATGGCAAATGTTTGGACAAACTGATAACGAAAATAAATTGTTCAAATATATATTACGCTCAACTGTTTATGTCCAAACAATTGTTTTTTGTTCACAAGTTTATATCCAAACATATGACTTTTGTTCGGAAGTTTATATCCGAATGATACAAATGGTGTATACTGAGATTTTTTGTGGAGTGTAAATAGAATTACCCAAATATAAAGGGTTATGGAAGAGAACCCTAATTTTCAATTTACCATTCACTGAAGCTATGGCAATAAATGAAGCAAACTAAAAATTGGGGCGACACACACAAACTTGTGTGTTGGAGAAACATTTGACTTACTTTGTTACCATTATTACCATTTTATATTTACTTCACCCATAGCCAATAGTGAGTACCTTTTGTAGGGTCTGTTGGAGATACTTTGTAATCAAAAGTTAAATTTTAGGTTTTTCAAGAGTATGTATGATCCCTTTAGACCAAGCCCGCCAAACTTACCAGTCTTGCACAAGGAAAAAAAAACATAAATATATTATCAAACCATAGCTGACTAATGAAACTTCAATTTGGTTTTCACAGAAACAGGTGCACAATTACGGGCTTTGAAATTTTAACAGAACCCCAAAATACCTCTAATACAAGCTCCTTAACTGCATGCCCTGGAAGTAATTGCTTATCTAAATTTCTTGGTTGGGTGGTAATCCGTTGTAAGGATCCAGGAACAACTGATACAAATAACACAAAAGGTCCAAAAAAGAACTGAAAATCATGAACCGAACAAAAGACAATTTAATTCTCATGCACTGAATTTCCTAAAGAAAGGCCATAAAGTGCAGAATAGTTATAAGTTGGAATACCTTGACATGGAATGGAAACAATAAACAACTCATCTTGTGGAGAAACAACTAAAGTGGCTTCATAATTTGGCCGAATCTTGTCCAGCTCATTACTTTCAATCAATGTATTCTGCAGAGCATATAAAAATCACGTGAGGAACTAAAGCATTAAAGAACATGTGAATGCAACCTGTTCGAAAAAGCATTATGAGAGAAATGCGTATACAAGAACCATACCTTGATTTTCAAAGTCAATTTATCGGATGAAAGATCCAATGTCATTCCATGCACATTAGCAATGACCCCCCCTCCTGACAAAATCTTGATCATCACTTCTGGAACAGATGCAAAAGCTGTGCGATTTCCATATATATCATAGCATGCAATGGAAAAAGGTGGAAAACACGAACCAACCCTGTCCAATATTTTAATATTTAATTAACTGTCAACAATTACCAATCAAAAAACAATTAACTGCCAAGAATTGTCTCTTAGTGAGTAATTAAAGGATGACATAATTATTTACTATCTAAAACAAGACTTGCACTCTTAAAACTCATCCAGTCAGAAACTAAAAACTAAAACAATAAAATGCACGAGGGACAGTAAATAACTTAGTGTTCCCCACAAGAGCAAATGCAATAGAGCAGCTAAACACAATATTTGAATGAAATAAGCGTGAAATGTCCCTATCTATAAGCATGAAGATGTACGACCAGAAAAGAAGAAAATCCAAACTGATATAACCTACGGAGCACTAATTTGGTGATCGGGTCAAAAATTGGACAGATTATCAATTTTCTTTCTTTTATCCAGCAAATTTCATTTTTCCTGATAGAAAATATGGTCCAGATCCCTCAGAAGATCATGTAAAAGCTTCAAGCAGAACTTGGGGACCAAAGTGCTCCAGCAAAACAGTATATTTCATCGACAAAACTTAACTAAATTTGAAGATACAAAAGACACTTTTTTTTCATTACCATCAATAGATAAATCAACTTTTGACAACAATCAGCAATGCATGCTCTTGATTACACAGTAAAACATAGAAAGCTAGCTGAGGCAGAGAACACTTTGACACATGTACAAGCAAAAAGTTCAATACATCATGAGCCTAATGAGTATGAGATGCTTTACCTCACATTATAGGGTAGACTCTGTCCATCACTTAATTGTCTCCAACTCCCAACCTCAGACAATGCCTTAACCTTTACTGTTCTTTCACAACTCTTCAAATTCAACCCTACCTAACAAAGAAAATTCCATCACAGAAACATGCATAATCAGATATAAAGTTATAACAACAATTTTCATATGACAAATTCTGAAACCTAATGTTTCTGAAGTGATTCAAAAAATAGCTTACAATAGACAATGAAAATGTATAGACACCAGCTTTTTGAAATACACTAGGAAACTTGCATCCAAGGGGAAATATATATAAACCATGAAGCCCTTTATGGGATGAAGGAGTTGTCAATCCAGAATAAACATGCTGAACATCTAGGACACTCTTGTCATCATCTCTAAATTTGATTTTTATGCTCATCTCTAAATGTTCCTTCACAATGTGCTTTTGATCCAAGTTCTTAGAAGCACTTGCAGAATTAAAAGATGCAGGACGAACAACAGCAACAATTTTCTTGGGAGGAGCATGACCAGCATAAACAGCAGAATCGGTGGGTAAAGCCTGAAACAGAAAATCATGTTTTGCAAATATTTAATAGTAAAATATGTTTGGCCTTGGTCTTAGTTGTCAAGCAATTGTTCAGAGCATGGAAGCATCATAATAACTCAAATTCTGAAAATCCTTTCAGCAATCATCTTCTCAGAAAAATTAAAAAGAAGACAAGCTAACTGAGAGAAACTGTGTTTCAGTTTAGAAAACAACAAAGGCTTGGATTAACTAACCCCTTCAATCTCCAACTCTTGACAATCTCTTGCACTCAATATTTCTATTGTAGTTGGCATTTTCTGATGTAGTTTCTCAACTTGGTACTCCCACTCAGCATTTTCAATAGCCAGACACTACCATGCATAGCTCAAGATTTGGTAAATTACTCAATTACATTGGAAATCTAAAATTTAAGGCAACATGAGATTCAATGCCTGACCTTTCCAGAATCAATCACACTAATAGGTAAGGACAAAGAGCTGCGCATATCAATAGCAGCATTCCCATCATCCACTGCAAGGCTGCAGCCATTCTCACTCGCGAGACTTAGTGGTCTTCCAGAAACAATAGCACAATAGTTAAACTACTTTCGAAGAAATTATGTACAAGCATTTGGAAGAGTAATTTAAATAACAAAATTAGAAGAAAATACCTGCAAATAAGCCGAGCTTCCCCTATGAAGAAGGAAAGAAACAACAGGTTAGATTTATCTTTTGAAAAGAATAACCCATGAATTGTACCAGAATGCAGATCAGTAGCTACACAAAGGTCCATGGTATAAAACCAGAAAAAGAAGTTCATAGCATTCATGGAATGTCTCTTGTATGTCATACTCCAATTTAAAACAATGATCTTCGATGACATTCAATTACATAATTGCACAATCAGATAAAACCAAGTTATGCTCAAACGGAATTGAATACAAATCAAATTTGAAACAAAAACAAAATTCAATACATTTAAATAACTTTAATAGATCACTTACCACCTGCATCCCCTTCAAAACCTTCAAGCAAAATGTACTCTAATGTAGCATAAACATTGTTCTTGTGGCATCCTGCACATGCTCCTTTCAGAACTTTGATTTTCTGCCCTGATTTCCAGGGTGCTCCTTTCCTTCGGAGCTCTTTGTGAACCCTCACAACTTAAAAATTGAAAAGCAACAAAATGTTAACTAGAGAAAAACTAGGAAGAGTTATGAATCCACAAAAAACAAAAAAGATGTGTAGATGATTGGACTTTATCTATAACAAGAAAATGCAATCTAACCTACATTATCTGGAACATGGATCATTTCGGTATGAGGAATGGGAACTGAAATGTGGTACGCCACAAGCTCTAATGCGGTATGATAGGGGTAGGCTTATATAAATTACAGTATTAGAAAGGTGTCTCTAATCATTAGAACAATTTTCCTTGAACACATTACTAGGAAGTATTATGGCCCATTTTTTATTATTTGTTCCACCAAAACTCCGTTCTCCATACATTTTGATTCATTTATACACTTTTTTTTTTTCATCCTAAAAAAATACTTTAAGAAAATAAAGAGAAAATTTGGGATTGCTTTGGAATGCTAAATTCACCGTTTTGTAATGAAAGTGTGACATATTTCGGAAAATGTGTTTCAAACCGTAAATCGCTACGGTATTAGAAAATGTGTTTCAAACCGTCAATCGCTAATGTAATAGCATTTTCTGGTAACACTGAATTTAACTTCATGATAAATAAAAAACATTTGTGCGCATTGCGAACTTACCATCAGCAGAAATGCCAAGTTTCTTTTTGTTTGAGGGGCTGACTACAAGAAGAGGTTGATCCTCACCATGATCAATTTCTTCATCATAACGATTATGCATCTGAAAAATCCATTCCTGATACTGCTGCTCTAGTTGTAAAAGTGTCACTTGCTTCCCATCTTTATAAATTTTGATTTTGACTTCTACAGGTAAAATATATGAACTGTTTGTTTCAATATACCAACACAATTCTCAAAATCAACATAATCCAAATGGAAAACAATTTCATAATTCAAAATGGTTTAAAAAAACATCACCTTTGTCTTTCTCTAGGGGCTTGTCACCAAAGTTCTTCAAGGCAGTAGTATAAGGATGATGATGCGCTAAATTAGTCTAAAAGATAATAGATCCAGTCAACATCATTAAATTGAAGCAGCAGAATGAATCAACAAAACCACATCCATGTGATACAGCTCTTCAATAAATAACAATTTAAAATTGAGTAAAAAGATCAAGTGTGAAACGACTAAATAAATTTATCTAGGAATGAGTAAAAAGATATTTGATTTCTAATAGAAAAATGATAACTCAAAAAGAACATTGCACATGTTAAAGCCAAAGCACATAATAGGAATAAAATTTACAGAAAAATCATAAATACTTGTGCGAATGGTGACCGGTTAGCCTAGGTGAAGTGTGCCCTCTACGAAGATGGCAAGCACTTATATGGCCAGAGAAAACTGGAGGTAGAGGAGATTACCAAAGACTGTCCAAGAAAAGATAGAGGGTGGCAGTGACACACTGAAGAAGAAGGGGAGTCCAGTTGAAGATCGTTACAATGATCCTTCAAGCCTACATAACGAACTTCTTTATATAGGGTGGCAAGCCAAAGGAGAGCCAGCTCAACTGAGCACATGTAGCATGATCCTGTTGGCTAGACAAAATGGAGGGAATATCCTACTTTGCAACTCCTACTTCAGACCTTGAGGGGTGTATCATATGGAGTCAAAGGAGTCAAAGGGTACGTATGATACATCCCTTTATGCACATGTCAAGCAATGCACAGGTAGGTATCATACATTGTCCAATGAGTCAGGTATCGGACAAAGCCCCTCTCTAAGACAGGTCCAAGCACACCTCGCCCCTAATGGGGAGGTTTGGCGAGCGTCTGAAAGAACCATGGGTCGTAGCCTCTAATTCAAAGTGCTTGGGTTTTCATGAGCACGACTAGGCCTCTGGGCACAAACAACAAAGGCTTGTACCTTGGGCCCCAAATTTTGATTCAAAATAGGGGGGCCCCAAATGCCTTGGTCTATTATAGTGTTAGATACAAAATGCCCAACCTGAAGGGCCCAATTTTATTTTTCCAGACATATATATGATGTTTTTAGAGAGTAACCAGCTTAGGGTTTGATTAGGATCATCCCCTATTTATATAAATGAAGATTAAAGTTTTGTAAAAAATTACAAGGGAGCCCTGAGGCATAGAATAATTACAAACTAATAACTCAGATAATAAGATGATAACTTAATATGCTAACACTCCCTCTCAAGCTGGTGCGAAAATATCTCTCATGCCCAACTTGCCTAATATGTCATGAAATGGCTTATTCCCAACCCCCTTGGTGAGAATGTCAGCAAGTTGTTTACCAGACTGGACAAAAGGAGTATAAATGATACCACTAGTAAGTTTCTCCTTAATGAAGTGGCGATCAATCTCAACATGTTTTGTCCTGTCATGTTGAACCGGATTGTGAGCGATGTTGAAAACGGCCTTATTATCACAGTATAACCGCATAGAGTCCGTCTGATCAATACCTAGATCACTCAACAATAACTTGATCCATAAAAGCTCACACACCCCTTGTGCCATAGCTCTAAACTTAGCTTCTGCGCTTCACTTGACAACCACATTATGTTTCTTACTCCTCCAAGTAACTAGGTTGCCTCCAACGAAGGTGTAATATCCTAAAGTCGATCTCCTATCAGTTATTGATCTAGCCCAGTCAGCATCTATGTAGGCTTCCACACGAAGATTATCATACTTTGAAAAACAAAGACCCTTACCAGGAGCAAACTTCAAGTAGCTCAACATTCTCATGTCAGCCTCGAAGTGAATCTGATGAGGAGCATGCACAAATTGACTAACCACACTGACAGCAACAACAATATCAGGACGGGAGTGAGATAGGTAAATGAGCTTACCCACTAATCGCTGATAGCTCCCCCTATCAACAGCTTCTCCTCCATCATTTCCCAATTTCTAATTGGGTTCCAGTGGAATGTCGCATGCCTTGCAGCCAAGCATCCCAGTTTCCTTTAACAGGTGAAGCACATATTTTCTCTGTGAGATAAATATCCCATCCTTGGAGCGAGCAACTTCAATTCCCAGAAAATACTTCAAGCTTCCCAAGTCTTTGATTTCAAACTTACTAGCTAAATATTTCTTCAACAGAGGTATTTTCCCATTATCATTGCCCGTAAGAACTATGTCATCTACATAAACAATAAGTGTTGTAGTCTTACCACGTAAGGAATGTTTCACAAATAAGGTGTGATCTGCCTGACTCTGTTTGAAGCCATATTTAAGCATAGCTTGAGTGAATCTCTCAAACCAAGCCCTTGGAGACTGTTTGAGACTGCTGGAAATTTGTGTTAATGTATATAATATGATAGTGGTATTGGTGAAGGATAGTGGCATGTATAGAATATGATAGTGGTGTTGGTGGTAGATAGTGGCATGTATATAATATGATGGTGGTAGATAGTGGTAATATATAATATGTAAGTGGCATATAATGGGTTATAATGATGTTTGTAATATCTTCTATATAAGGAGTGTCATTTGGTCTTGCAAAATAAGAAGTTTTGAATATAACAGAAATATATTCCTTCTTCCTCATATTTTCGAACAAGTGGAGTAGAAGATCGTTTTTGGGATATTTCTATCCCGCTCCCCAATGTCATTTATCCTACACAAAAACCACATCTGTCTGATAATGATCACTTAGGAGAACCAAGTTCTATGGTGCCTAGTCAAGAAGATTCTTGTTTAGGGGGAGAAGTACTACAAAATGATCTAAATCCTGAGCTTCAGGTTTATACTAGGAAGCGATTTCATCTGAGAAATAATGACCCGAATGTCCACCCTAATGACCCGAATGTCCACCCGAGTTCTGGCATCGAAATTTTAGGCAATCCTATTCCTTCTATTTCCGACCTTGATGTACCTATAGCAATTAGGAAAGGTGTCCGAAATTGCATTAAACATCATATTGCAAATTACCTCTCCTACC